GAACGGAATCAGAAAAGGCCTACACCCACTACTGAAAGTGTCAACACCAATAAGTAAGCACCGAACCAAAACGAGCACCAAGAAACCAAACAAAAAGATCCAGTTTTTTCTCTGTTCTCAATACAGAAACACTACCCGAAATGGACCACCCTAAGTTGGATCAAGCAGCACTATAAAGCACCACAAAGCATCTGCAACAACACGAGCTATCACCGCTACAGTGGTAAACGCCCTCCATCCCACCAAGGAGCTTCTCACCTCTAAATCCATTATGTTTACCACTGCTAAAAACACTAAAACTTGCTTCTCTACCCTTGAAACTGTGCTACTTCCTTTTCACAAAGAGTAACCTCTTAGAAATTTTAAGACTGAAACGATTCGCCCCCTTCGAACTTGAATTTTGAGACCTCAGCAATAGAAACCTTGAGCACTTGGATATAGAATTGGACGCCCATCTAAAAACATGTTCCCTAGACATTAGCATAGTCCAAACTCTCATCAATAACATGATGCTCCACTAACCCAGAAATGGAAAAGATGGGAACATCAATAACCCCTTCTTCATAGACACCCGATACATCCACTATAACTCCTTCATGCGCCGCACCACCTTCCAAGAAACCATAAATAATTCACACCTCTGACTACTCGACACATTCTGCTCCTGCCCATCCAAACCTCCCTCGAGACCTACACCTTCTTTCTCTAACGAAACCTGATGATGTCCGCAAGCACCAAAACTTGCTGCCAACATTCCACTAACGAAAAGATTCCTCTGACTCAACGCCTTGAACTACACATCCCCAATACCACCTTTCTCGGGACCAGAATCTTCTGCACATGCCTCTATGAAACCAGAAGCCTCCGCCATTACATCGGCGACTGCAAACCACGCTCTGCCATCAACCAAGGATCCTACAATGAAAGCATGATCCTCACAACATTGCTGAACTTCCAAAGGAAACAACTCCCAAAACACAGAAACTACCAGTAATCTAAGACCAGGACTAATTGACCCATCAATCGACACTATGGGCGCGGCGAAAGACTATTAGCGACAACACCTCATTTCCACAACCGGAACACGAAACCAGCAACTGCAGCAGAACCCTCCTGCAACCTAGGACACATCTCATCACCGACAACGTTGAATTCGCCGCTCCACCACCAGCCGAAGTGCCAACAAGGAACACACAATGCAATACACAAACACAGGAGCGGGCAGTGAACAACATCTAATAGCAACACCCAAGAACATTCAAATCAAGCTAAAAACGATGAAAGGTAACAACGGCCACGAACACCGACCTCGCTAATTGGCAGCTACTTTTGAGGTAGCCTGCTGTTCCATATGTTACACTTTTTTAGAAACAGAAACATAAAATAAACAATATCATTTTTAACTGAATTTGTAAAAATATTAAAAAAAGCTAAGAATTAATTTAGAACAGAATCAACAGTTTGAGCGAATAAACTTTAAATTTAATGATAGCGTGGGGTAAGATTTGTTTGGTATGAATGCTCTCCTAACGAATCTTTCATTGAATACTGGAAGCCAAGAGACAATTGAGAGATTATGATCTTTCAGCTTTTCTATAAACACTGTTTCCTCCCAACATCGACTTTCTTAAACTTTAATTGTCCCTAACTGTAAACTTATTTATATCAAATTTCAAATTTTCAAAGCTATCTTAAATGACCCCAACCAATTTATTGAAGCTACCTCAAATCGTAAAATGCCATGGAGGCTCTCACTGTCTCCCAAAGTGGACACCGTTACCAAGTTAGAGAAATTTATTCATCATATTCGATTTAATTTTGGTTTGACTTAAAATATAAATATGATTGATTAACATCGATTAATTCTAAATTCATTGAGTGATTTCAGCGATAAAAGATGATATTGTTCATCTTAGAAGACTTTAAAGTGTATGTACGTTATAGATAAACTAAGAAAATTATAGATATATATTATCTTGTAATCACGTAGTATTATTAAAAAATATTAATTAATTAATTACATGTTAGAAAGTGAAAAATATGAATTTATAGTAATGTTCTTGGCATGGAAGCTAAATTGGTTACGTTTTGGTATCCAAATTTAATTATTTTTTAAAATCATACTTAATGTTTAGTTTAAATTTTAATTTGATACTCCTTCATTAAAAAACTAATAGAACTGTTTACATGATATTTTTTCTAATGATGATGTGAGTTATCTTATGGTGACACGTCAATATCACTGTTATGTTTTTAATAACTGGGTGTCAAAATGAAATTTAAACTAAACGTTAGATATAGTTTTGAAAAAAAGTCTAGATACCAAAACAGAATAAATGTAATAATTTAATTACTAAACTTGTAATTTGCCCTTATATATATACACACATATAACAGATACTTGTTGATTTCATTACGTCCTGGGTAGTTTTCCATAAAGAAAATTCCAATTCGGTGGCTCTCTATCAAGTCTGCTGTGAGAGTTCAATCAATCCCCACAATTTTCTCATCTCGCAGTTTAGATTTCTAAAACTTATAAAACTTCGGGAAAATCATCTTTGTTTTATTGTTCGTGTCAAGCATGGAAGATCGTAAGGAGGTGAGTACTTTTCTTCTTTTCTCTCGTTTTCTTTTTTCTGGATTTTTAGCGCTGTTGTTGAGGGTTAAACTGAAGCTTCATTTTCTTTGCAAACAAACAAATTTTATGAGATGTGAATCTTTTGAAGTTCTGGGTTTCACTCTCGGTTTTTAGCCTTTGACTTTAAAAACCCAATCATAGAATTTTTCTTTTCTTTTTCTTCTTATTTTCTATGAATTTCCTAGAAAAATGGAGCATGGGTATCAGTGCCACAATTTGGGGAGTGGGAGCAGAAAGGGCAGGTGCCGGATTACTCACTTGACTTCTCAAAGATAAGGGAAATGAAGAAGCAAAACAAGAGGGAGGTTTCAAGAGCCAGTATTGGAAATGAAGAAGAATTCATTAACCCAACTGTTAGTGTTACCACTGCCCCTACCACTGATGATCATCACTCCCCAACTGTAAGGATTCCCTTCCACTAATTTTCCCTTTATGATCAACTCCAAATGTAGCTTCTTCTTCTTCTTCTTCTTTTAGTTTTGGTAAGTAGCTGTAAATGGGGGGACAGTGCCATGAGAAAAAAAAAGAACATAAAGCTATAGACTTTGGATGCATATGCATGTGCTTGGGGTGGTGGGGGACGTTGCTTAGTTGGATCATTTGATCTTTTTCTTTAATCTCCGTAAGAAAAAAAAGAAAAAAAAAAGAATATAAAGCTATAGACTTTGGTGCCATTCGTTTTCATTGCAGCAGCAAGAAAAATGAAAATTCTAACCCTTCTAAGTAGTAAAAGAAAAACCGTTGTTATCCGTAGAAAACTCGGGTTTAAGTATATAGGATGTGTACGTGTTATCAATGACTAAAATGTTTTTTAATAAATATTATCTAGTAATCTCTTCTAATTATTTAAAAATAAAAATCCAAATAATTTGATTTCATTTGGATTAACGGTGCCGTTGCTTTATGATTTTGTTGACAGACGAAGAGGGGACTCTTCAGCTACTTCAACTGTTGCATCAAGGCCTGAACCTGATGAACCGAAAGAGCAATCTGTCCTTCTTTCTTTTTTATTTGTAATATTATTGTAATATTTATTTATTTTTCTACCTCTCTGCCCACCAGTTCAGCTCTTAGATAGGGGAATGGATAATATAAGTTTAGTAATTTTGGTGATTAATGTATGCAACTCAGTCATTTGTTCTGCTACTGAATTTTGGAAATATAATTCCAATGGATAAGTGATGGGAGGTAGTTCAACTCCAAGTTTTGAACTGAAAATTTACGTCTTTAATTAGAAAAAATTAAGTTAATTAAATGTCACAATTGAAATGGTATGAAAAAATGGATTTAGTACATCAATATATGATTTTTTTCTTCAAAATCTATTACTAAATATGATAACATATGTGAATACAGAAATATGATAAAACAATTCATTAATCAAGTGAACGGTCGTTCAAAAATTCTCAATGTTTGCTGCCGCACGTGAGACTTTCCCTTGGTCATTCCGTTAGTCTCGTATTGATTTGTTTACTGGAGTAATATTGTTGTTGTATCCTAAAAGATATTCAACGTTCTCAAGCATCGACAATAAGATGAATCTATAAGGAGAGTGTTTATACATACTTCAACGAAACGATTATTTATACCTTTGGAGTCATCACCCCAAAGCCAGATCTACCGCACAAGCGATCCAACTTCCGCTTTGGAAGATCCTCTGTTCAAAAGATCCTCCGTTGAAGTGAACCTTGAAGTCTCCATGGCTACTCCTTGAGTTCACTATAAGCCTCTGCAGCCTTAACCTCCGGAGTGTTTTTGAATCCTCTGGATTTCTTATATTTTCTTTACGATAATATTGTTTACGCTTAATAATTATTAGATTATTATACAATTATTTGTAACACAAATTAGCCACTGCATCACGGTCCAAGACCACACTAGAATTTCATACTCCGCTCTTTAGGTGTCTTGAAGCAAATTTACCTGGCAAGAGTCTCCTTTAAGAAAATTTTGTGCACAAACAATAGCAAATGTGTTTGATTCTCCATCAACGGAGCAAATGACTATTGTACTTCAAAAGCAATTATAATCACTGCCAAAAGTTAATATAAACATATTACATCTTAAAGATAATTATAAAGCATGTAGATGCCAAAATACCGGATAGTATTGTATAAGAGAGGATATAAGAGATGGAAAGGATAGAGGAAGTGAGGCTCACAAAATTACAACCAAGCATACCATAGGCTATAATATAGGAAATCTATGTCTATATTGGAATAGATATCTGAGAGTGGGCTTTTGCTTGTTGTTTCCTCATCTCTTCTTCCTACTGGATAACATCATAGCACCACTTCATCATTCTCTTGGGGTAGTGGTGCTTAGCCAACTGCCATTAAGACCCCCACTATCCCCACATACACTTTTTCCCTTTATTACCTTTCTCTATTTATAACCCCCCCACATATCCCCCGTTGCATGGGAAGAAAAAAAACAAGAGGAAAAAAGGAAGTTTGAGAAGACATGGAAGTGGGTGTTAATGAGGTTGAAGATGATGTGTTCTTTGCAGACTTAAACAAGCAAATTTCTTTGCTAATCATGGATGATGATAATGATGAACCAGTTGCTACATACCCTTCAGTTTCTTTCCAGGTTATTAAGCATATATTTTCCATACCCTGCATTCTTTGCTAGTATCATGACTTCCCTTGGGATTTTTCAGACATTCTGTGGAGCAAATTATCAAACAGGTCGACCCCCACATCTTGAAAGCAAAGGCACGGGAGTTTTTATCCCGAGGTCATTGCAGCCAACAAGGAAGCATGGGCAAAGAAGATTCACTTCATTCAACAACAATTCCAACAGGTATAAGCATAATAACGGTACAAAAATGGCTTCTCGACAATCTTTCAACGATCCTTACACATCTTCTTCAAGTGTTTTTTACTTGCCAAAAGGATTTTCCAAATGTATGTATGTGTAAGTAATTGATTCTGAATCTAATTAGTAAGACTCAAGGAGGCTCAACAAAGGGTGAGCCTCTCTAAATCATGGAAATGTATTGGAACTATGGAAAACTATGTATTGTGCACTTAATGTAATTGATTATTTGATTATATGTATCGATCGATGAAATAAGTGTTCAAAATATTATTAATTTAGTCAAGATGACTAAACTAATTAACAGAACTGGAATGTAAGTAAACTATTGTAAAATTAGTTAGGTATTTATGTATTCGACAAGACTGGAATTTTATTTGATAAATCATAGAATGTAATTAACAGAACTGGTTGCGGAAAGTAATGGTAAAATAAAATAATCAATGTGGACATAATTAATTTAAGCAAGGTGGTTGTACCTCCTTGCATTTATTTAATTATCCAGGAAGCAGCAATGTGCTGCTACATCAAAACCATGTTGCTAGCATATTCATCAATGTGAAGAGTTTTTTTTACACTGTCATGATCCAAAGCGTACCAGGTTTGTCAGCTTGAGTTGAATCTCTTCCTTGATCATATCAAAGACTTGCATGTGATTGGAGGGCTTCCATGAAGTCTTCTGTTTCTCTCTGTCCAAATGTGACCACATTCCGCAAAAGCTTCAAGATGGTAATGGTAGGGAGAAGCGACATGCCCTTGAGCTTTTAAACTGTCCTGCTAAGAACATTATTCCAGATGAGGTCTCTATGATAGTTTCCATTGCTGCATAATCTGAATCCTTAAGATCCTGTAAAAACTGCAATTACAAAATAGGTGATCTCGAGATTCCTGATCTGCCTCATTTACTGCAAGGCAAAGAATACAATAGACGATTTCCTGATTTCTACCTCATTTACTGCTTATCAGTGAACAATATAGTTTCTTTCTAGAATTTACTCACTTATCGAATCTTATGGCCATTATGGAAAGGATAAAGAAACATAAATGCAGATTCCATACCTTCATTCTTTTTACCTCTTATAAAGATCGTGACATTCAAGTAGACCAAATAATGGCTTAGATGTATTTATTTAATGCAACCCTGAGCTTAGCAAACGAACCATGATCAGCTACTAGGAATGAAAATGAAAGTGAAATACTCAATATGCAAGCACTTAGCAAGATCTTCCAACTTGCCCATGACTAACTCCTTGAATCCTCTCTCGAGTAGCAAAATCATCTAGTAATTGAAGCATCTTTGCAAGGCAAGGAAAGCAAAATAGCCTTGATAGCACAAGGAAAAGATTGAGAAATTTTACCAGCTTTATCTCCAAACATCAACTCTGAATAGCAAAAGGATGTTAAACTCACGCTGTCTGCTTACTTACGTTCCTTTAAGCTCTGTATGTTGCATGACAACAAACTTCTAAGAATTATTTGCCAACTACACAGTTGTCACATCATCTAAATTCTGTATCAGGAGTTCACAATATGAAGCACATCTCCAGAAGCCTAAATTCTGTAATATATTGCCGCCACATCTCATCTCAATCAATTATAGGGGTGGCAATGTCAGGCACATATCCTGCACTCTTAACCTGCATGATCAAATTGCCTAAAACTAAATATATTAAATTGGACTCATGATGAGTTCTATCCCTTGCAATAAAGACGTTCGTTATGTTATTAACTTCAATCCAACTACACCCAGGTTCTTTAAGTACACCTTCTAACTCCATTTTCTCCCTCACCTTCTTAACATCTGCCCACATGCCTTTCGATGCAAAAATATTTGAAAGTAGAGTATATGAACCACTATCCATTGGATCAATTGAAATTGCCATTTCTGCTGCATATTTCCCTAATTCGACATTACCAGCAATCCTACATGAACTAAGTAAGGTCCTCCATAACACTGCAGCTGGTTTTATTGGCAATGACTCAATCAAGGCCTTTGCTTCATATAATTTACCAGCATGGCCCAACAGAGAGACCACACAAGCATAATGTTCGATCCCAGGTTTAACCCCAGATGTAGGCATCGACCCAAAGTAATGAAGTCCAAGCTCTACAAACCCTGCATGCACACATGCTGAGAGCAGACCAACAAATGTCACATAATTGGGTTTCATTCCTTCTTTCAGCATTCTTTCAAATATCTGGAGGGCGCCTTCAGCTTCTCCATGATGAGCATATGTTGAGATCATGGAATTCCAACACACAATATCCCTCCAAGCAGTGGTATTAAACGTTTTACGAGCATCTTCCAAGCTTCCACATTTAGCATACATATCAATGATGGCATTTGTAACAAACGGATCAGAGTCCAGACCATGTTTTATTAGCTGAGTATGGACCTGTTGACCATGTCGAAGACTTGCTAGGTTACTCGAAGCAGTCATTAAGGCAGCAAAAGTGAATTCGTTTGGTTTTTGTCTTGATAGCTGTAATTTTGAGAAGAGTTTCAGGACCTCTTCATTTTCCAACTGTTGTGTATAACCAAAAAACAATGCGTTCCAAACAACAATGTCTTTCTTGTTCATCTCCTCAAATAGAAGCCTCGCATCTTTAACATATGAACACTTTGCATAAACATCTATTAGAGAACTTCCAACAAATAAGTCCGTGATACCCCAAATTTGATTATAAGTGCATGAATCTGCCAGCTGATTTCTATGGTACATAATGCAGCTGATACACCAAGAAGGCTAACAAAAGTCAAAAGGCTAGGAGGGAGTGACCTGAGTCGCATGTTGCGGAAAAGGTCCAATGCTTCAGAAAGTTTCTCTAGACTTGAGTATCCTTCAATCATCGCATTATATGAGACCACATTCTGATCACCCATAATGTAAAAAACTCTTCTTGCATCAATTAGGGAGCTACATTTTGCATACATATCAATCAAACCATTTGTCACAAACTCATCAGACTCAATATTGGCCTTGATGGTGTAAGCATGCACTTGTCTCCCCAGATCCAGAGCCTCAAGCGAACCACATGATGTGAGTACACTAGTGCAAGCAAAGCCATCTGGCTTCCAACCCAATCTGGTCATCTCAGAGAAAGATTCATAGCTTCCCTGTCAAATGAATTCTGCATGTAACCAGCAATCATTGTAGTCCAAGAAATAACATTTATAATCATCATCTCATCAAAAAGCCTGCGTGCAGATTTTACCTTACCACATTTACAATAAAAATCTATTAGCACATTAATGACGGAAACATCCATTTCCTCTCCCTCCTCAAAACCTGACAATGAACCTGCTTTCCTCCTTGAATAAAGTCGAGTACTGAACAAGCACTCAAAACACTGGAAATCACATATCGATCCGGCATCACATCAGTTTCTCTCCTTTGTCTAAACAACTGTAATGCCACCTCAGCCTTCCCACTCTTCACATAAGCTGTTATCATTGTTGTCCAAGTCACCGCATTTTTCCCTTTTAAACCATCAAAAACCAACCTTGCTTCATCTATACACCCACTTTTCATGTAAAAATCAACCAAACAAGTCCCCACATAAACATCTTGATCAAAACCAGTCTTGATAACAAAATCATGAATCTGAACTCCCAGTTGACCGCCATCTCCCATCTGCATACAAGCTCGAATAACGCTAGCCAAAATATACTCATTTGGACTCTTACAACAACTTCTTCGAAACTCCAGAAACAAAACTAATGCCTTTTCGATATACCCATGTCGGGTATACATAGAAACCATCGTGGACCATGAAATTAAGTTTTTCTGAGGCATTTCATCAAACAGCTTAGTCGCGTCACGTAAATTATCACACCTAGAGTAGAGATTCAATAGAATGTTTGTGAGAAAAGTATCAGACTGCAAAGCAGACACAACAATTTGTGCGTGGATTCTTTTGTACTGTGCAATGGGATTCGGTTGGGAAAGCTGTTTTTGAAGAAGGCTAGCGAATTGGCGCCTTTTGAGCTGGGAATCTGGAGGGGGAAAATATGGGTCTTTGGAAGGAGAAGATCTATGGGTAATGTGGATGAATTAAAGGCTTGTTTATTTGTTGATTTTTGAATGTTCTTGAGCTGTAATTTTAACAGGTTGCAGCAATTGTTTCTCATTTTTCTTGGAAGGGAGGGAGAAAATGAGAGACTCCTCAATCTCTCAAGTTTTAGCGGCCAAGTCCACTGATTGTAACCTCGTACAAATCAAGTAATTATAAAATTTAATTAACGTTTATATATTTAATCCTACATTACTTAATCCCATTCAATCTACATGATTTTTAACCTGTTAATCATAAGATTTGTCATTAAGTTTGATATAATAAAATTGTTAATCATGTTACTTTATAACATGATTCCTTTAAACAGCTTTCAAATGACCCGTGTTAATGTATACTTTAATATCCGTTAAACATTCTAACTTAAAATCTTAGTATCAAGTTTTCTGTAAACATGATCGTATCATACCAAAGGTTACTATAGCCAACAGTTTAAGGGAGTTAAGGTTAAAATTCTTTGTTAGCATTCCTATTTTGAGAGATTATAATATAAGGTTAAAGTTAAATTTATAATTTTTAGAACATGAGATGACATGTGATCTTATAACATACACCCTTTATCCTAAAAAAAATTTCCATTATTGATTTTTTTGTCATTTTTTTTAAAATTTTCACTAATTATTATTTAAAATTTATTACTGATCAAAATATATAAATATATTTTAAAAACTTTCAATCAAGTAATTTTTAAATATATATTTTTATAAAATTTAATTATTTAATACATTTAAAATAATTATGGTCAAAATTTAAAAATTTTCTAGATAGGAGGAGTATTAATTTCAAATTCTAAACCCAAAATCTCAGCCAATCTCACTCGTCCAACCGTCGCAAAAGAACACTAAAGATAAACCCAAACTGGTCCTTGCTTTCCGATCCGTCGTCCGTGCGTTTCCGATCATCAACCCTAAATGCAAGTTCCTTACGTGCCCCACCGTATGTGTGTCGAAGGAGTCTAAACTAACTCGGGGAATCGATTAACGGGGAGTCTGTTCGGGTTCCATAAAGATAGCGTATCACTTTCGTTGCATGAGAACCCTAAGTGCCTGCCTTGGTTAGTTGTTGAGTTAGCTTTGCGGATCAATTTGCTACAGAAGGAACTGAGTGGTGGGATGGTTCGAATCGTCCTCGAATGCGAAAAGAAAGCCGAGAAGGTCAGAAAGAGAAGATGATGTTGTTCGACGAGCCGTTGTGGACGATGTAATGCAACGGAAAGAAAACAGGGTGCGGCGTAAAGCGAGAGGCGATGGAGGATGATTTGAACGTGATGGAGCTCCTCGAGACTATTTCAATGGGAGCTGGGGTGTTGACAGGGAACACTGAAGTCGAAGGTTCGGACGGGGAGTTAGCTTACAAGAGGGCTTGCTTCGAACGAGTCATCGGATCGAAGGATTCACAGACGTTTTACATGGTAAATCCTGATGCGAAAAACGGGGCTGAACTCGGTATATTTCTTGTGAGACTCTGATTTTAACGTGGTTTATCAATGGAGATTGATGAGGAAATACCATGGTCGCCAACCCAATTGATTCAAGATTAATATGCCGAGTCATGAATATTGATGTACATATTCCCCATGATTTTAAAGGTATTCTAGGATTCCACCTAGGCAGCATTATACATTTTCTTTTCTTTTTTAATTTATTTAAGGGTAAAGTATAGTAATGGTCACTGAACATTTCTGAAGCTTGCATTTAGGTCCCCCAACATTTAAAACTTGCAATACAGTCCCCCAACATTTATTCCATTTGCAATA